GAATATAAGGGCAAAGGCAAACAAGCCGAAGCTTGTTATTCTAGATTCAATTTTCTTTATTGAAAGATTTGGCCAAGAAGAAACCCTAGAGCAGGGAAAAAAAAAGGGCTTTTAACAAGAAAGTAGAATCTGCACTTCATTGAAATGATATGCAAGAAATTGTTAAAGAAAGCGAGAGATACCTGTGAGTCGCAGAGTCGGAGACGAACCACAAGAGGTTTTCAAATTTGAGTTGAGCGGGAAGCAAGCTGTGTTCTTCTATAGGTTTTTCAAATCTGAGTAGAGGGCCAAAATGGGGAATTTGCTTTTTACGTCTTCTCCCCACATTTCTCACTCCTCAGCCTCATAAAGTTGCTTAATTTTTGTTTTTATTTTTTCCTAAGTTTGAAATAATAAACATTTTGGGTTCATAAAAACAAATCTCTCCGCATGCGATTCCGCGCCCGTGAGAAGCTTTTTTAAAAAAAATTTATATTTATTTTAGAATTAAAAAAGATAATAAATAGTTGTATTCCATAAAAATGGGATATATTATCTTATTTTTCTTTTTTTTTTAATTTTAATTTTTTTCATATAAAAAGGTGTGAATTTACCATATTACCCTCATTTAATTGATAATTTCAATTCTTAATATTTGCATTAATCAAGGGCATTTTCTAGTATTTTGAATGTTTCACCATTCTCTCTCTTTTGCTATATATATATCAAAAATAATTATCATTTTAGTAAGAAAATAATGAAACTTCTTTTGGTGAATAAACAAAGCACTATCCTCCACACAATAAATTAAAGGATTAATTGGTGAATTACTCCTTGAACTTGTACCTAAGTTTCAATTAGCCTTCTATTCTTTTTTTTTTAAAAAAAATTAAGGATATGAATTTCTTCTTTTTTCACCAATTTCCCCCCGCCGTCTAAATCATCAATATTTCATCTAATTTTCTGTTAAATCATTAAAAATAAATATTTTTTTTGGAAAAAATTAAAGAAAAGAGAAAAGAAAAAAATGGTTACCTACCATAAAATTAAAGAAAGTGGTTACCTACCATTTTCATACCTCCATTAAGTTGTATGTCGTCTTTCGTTAACCCATAACGTGTTGTGTCGATCTTGCATTTTGAAGGTTCTAGGCGAACATCCTAAATGGGGCCTTATAGTGTGTGTGTGTGTGTGTGATTTTTTTTTTTCGTTAAGTTTAAAAAGTATTATATGAACTAAAATTCACAATTGTAACATAAAAGAAACAATCAATATCTAATTTACACAACAACTCTATAACATGCATCAAAACATCACTCGTCTTAAATTTTTCGATTCAAAAGTAACAATTAACTTTACATAATCAAGTTTTTCTACCATGTCTTTTGTCAATTTCCTTATTGATTCAACTAGGTTCATTGATTTAAGTTATAAGTTTAAAAAATACTTGGGTCTTTATTGAGTTTCCTCTTTTTAATTTTGAATTGAGTAATTGAGGAAGATTTTTATTTTATTTTACAATATGTGGGCGTTTATTGAATTTTTCTTCTTTTTAATTTTGAATTGAATGATTAGGTAAATTAATTTTTTTTAAATATATTTACCATAATTAGTTTGGGCTTAACACAATATTTATATAATATAGTTTTTTTAAATAATAAGTATGTATCAATGTTTTGAAAGGCGAGGCGTTTTAGTCGCGTTACGTGAGGCGTAAGCCTTGAAGCATTGTGCTCTTGATGCAAATAAACACACTTTGTTGGCCATACAACTTAAACTTTCCTTATCTCGTGGTTTGTACAACCTCCTTGCTACCACTTTCTGACATAAATACATATTCAATGTCCATTCGGGCAGTTTTTGTCCATCACTTCATTATGAGTGACGAGGAAATTTCCATAACATGCTCCCATTTCATCACACAAAACAAATGGCAACATGGGATGCCTTCGCTTTCATATATACTTCTGATAGTTGCACTCTATTCGAACATCTTTCCCACCAAGGTACACACAACTCCAATTATTTTGCGGTTCACCATATTTCACTAAAATATACAACCATCCTCCGAAATTATGAATTATTTTTTCATGAATGAGTGATGATGAAGCATTGATCTCGTTACATACCAAGAAAAAGCACATGTGAGTAAATTTGGGAAGCATATTCCTCAAGACTTTTCAGTGTTGTTATAAGCACTTTCTTTGACTGTTTTGGTCAAAATCATCCTTCCCTGAGATATTCCTCATTTGTGCTATGGCCTTATCAATTACTGGAATGCATTCAAACAACTTAACGTCTTTCCTCAAGTAATCTTTCACAAACTTGTTCATACACTCCACGCATTGAGTAGTGCACATACCACTGAAAAACTTGGTCTAAGGCGTGATTTCTCCCACGCATCTTGTTTTGCATACATCATTTGCAACCATTCCTTTTGTTTATGTGTAGTACTCTATCCTTCAAAAACTTTCATTTCTTTTCAAACTCATTAACTGTAATTGGTTCCCAAAGATATGCTTGAAATGATCTTACCAATTCTTCATCCTTAAAGTTATTTTGTGTATTCCTTACCACATGCCATGAGCACAACCTATGATTGCACATGGGCAATACATACTCAATTGCTTTGTGTACATCGCCTCATCCTCATCCGTCAATATTGATGTAGGATTCTTGGCTTTCATGGAGGATATGAATGTCTCCAATAATTACTTTATGTTCCAAAGGTCTCGTCAAACAATATGGCACAACCAACACTTGCCCGGTGGTTGTTTGAACCAACAAATAACACTAGAGGCTTGTCATACATATTGGTTTTATATGTACTGAGCGAATATAAGGATGTCTCCAGAGGCAACATAATCCAAAAGTGAAGTAGAGTCTCTCCAAAACAAGTTAGCAAGCCTATTTTCCTCGTCTACACTGAACTTACAAAAAAATTCAAGATCTACTGATGCTTTCGCTTTCATGTAGTTGTGTATAGCTTCAGTGTCGCTGTCTAACAATATTTCCTTACGTGATGCATCCAACTTCTTCCTTAAGGATCTAAGTCCTCAGCTCATGCATTGATGGAGGCTTAAATCCTACACCATATGCGACAATCCTTTCCACCACAGGTAGCCAAAATGGATCATTTACAATACTAAATGGGAGTGCTCTAAAGAAGAAAAAAGACCAATCTTTTGACTAACTTCCTTTCTTTCTTCTTGTTTGTATGCTGAATTTAATGTACTTTGCCAAGCTTCTAAAGTGACAAATCTATCCATTGGTCCTTTTGATTTAGGTTGTGCTCTAAGAGCCTCATCAACTATAACACTCCTAGTACCAGGGATTCCATACTCTTCATCCAATGAAGTTTCCATACTCTGAGCCCTTCCTCATGGACCATCCCTAATCTCTCTAAGCATTTCATTTTTCTTTCTTTTTTCAAGCTGGAAATATTTCAAAGTTGCAACACACTCTTTTTTCACATGCTCAAGAACTTTCTTACATAGTTGCATACCATGATGAGTTTGACCCAAATGATGCTTAAGTTTAGAAATTCCTCTACTGCATATTTGATTACAAAATGTGCATCTCAAGTATTTTTCCCCCTCTATTTCTTTTGCATACTTCCACGTAGGATCTTTTCGATTCATAGCTATAAAACAACACCATTAAAATTTCTAAGATATAAGTATGATACATGTACGTCAAATTTCTACTATATCACATAAACGAATAAGATAACTAATATATTGAAAAAAATATATATACGAAACTTCAAATTATAGTTGCGAAGAATTAGAGAGAAAAATAAAATGGCTTACTTGCAATCGAAAGATGAAGAGAATTCTTGAAATTGATGGAGATTATCTGGTAAGGGTAGAAATTATGATTGTACTACACAATATATATATATATATATAAGTTTGTGTGTTAATATATTAATTTAGAAAGAAAAAAAAAAGGTTAGTAGAATAAAGCTACAGCCGGCTGGAGTTTATCTATATATATAAAGCAAAAGGTAGATAATAGTGAAACATTAAAAATACTAGAAAATGTCCTTGGTTAGTGCAAACATTAATAATTGAAATCATTAATTAAATGAGAATAATATGGTAAATTCATATTTTTACATATTAAAAAAAATTAAAATTAAAAGAAAAATCAGATAATGGGCCCTATTTTTATGGAACACAACTACCCATTATCTTTTTTAATTCTAAAATAAATTTAAACTTTCTACAAAAAAAATGCATCTCGCAGGCGCAGAAGCGCGAAAGAAAGAGGCTAGTTTATTATAAAGCAAAAAGCAGAGAATGGTGAAACATTCAAAATACCAGAAAATGTCATTGGTTAATTCAAACATTAAGAATTAAAATTATTAATTAAATGAGGATAATATGATAAATTCAATTTTTTTTTATATTATAAAATTATAAAATTAAAAGCAAAATCAGATAATAGGTCATACTTTTATGGAACATAACTACCCATGTTATCTTTTCTTAATTCTAAAAAAAAAAGAAAAAAAAAAAGAAAACCAATTGGCACATGCGTGAGCATATGCCAAGGGCTAATTTATTATAAAGCAAAAGACAGAGAATGATGAAACATTCAAAATACCAGAAAATGTCATTGGTTAATGCAAATATTAAGAATTGAAATTATTAATTAAATGATGATAATATGGTAAATTCACACTTTTTCATATTAAAAAAATTAAAAATAAAAGAAAAATCAGATAGTGGATTTTATTTTTATAGAACACAATTATCCATTATCTTTTTTAATTCTAAAATAAATAAATTTTTTTTTTAAAAAAAAAACATCTCTCAAGCGTGGAAGTGCATGTGGAGAGGCTTGTTACAATAAGAGTAAGAAAAAAAAACAGAGACTTGCGTTTGTTTTATTTCAAAACACTCCAAGTCGTTTCATTTAATTTTTTTTTAAAAACACTGCAATCGGAACGACGTCGTTTCATTGCAATAAACCTACAATTGAAAAAAAAACACGCGAGTCGTCTTCCTCGCAGAGTCGCAGCCAATTTGCAGACTCGCAAAATTTCTTCCGGTTCAGAAGTGTCCAGATCTGGCGCGCCTTGCTCCGCCTCGCTCCGCCTGGCCACGCCTTGCAACGCCTCCTCACGCCTTCCCGGCGCTAAACGTGCTACTCGCGAAACAGCCGACCGCCTCGGGCGATTTCCTGCCGCCTCGCTCCGACGTGCTCGCCGACGCGCGCGAAGGCATGCCTTTGAAAACACTGGTTGTGATATATCTTGGATGATGGTGAGTTAAATGACTGAGTCACTTTTTTCTTTTTCTTGGGATTGATTCTAGAGTAATTGAATATTAAATGTTTCGGTTTGAACATTATGCTTGATTGGTTATTTGCTGTGCATATTTTAATTATTGAAGCTTACGCCTTTGTTTGCCTTGGCCTTTGAAAGCATTGAGTGTCAGAATTGGCTTTAACTTTGTACCTGGATGATCATATGTATACATATCTTACTCCTTTGTTTGCATTATATTATATATATATATATATATATCTCTCTCTCTCTCTCTCAGAATTTATGGTATTCTTGGATGATCATATGCTTGTTTGATAAATTTGATTTGTTCTATTTTGGGACTGTAAATATTAATTCGCATTGTAATGGTGATGGTGGGAAAACAGGTTCTGGATATCGCATAGTTTTTGCCAGTGTAGGCTTTTCTTCATTTATTTTTTCATTTGGCTCTCCACGAGGGTTCATTTGGCTGTACATCTTGATGGATAAGGAAGACAATGGTACTGGTGATCATGAAGAGGCTTCACAGTATGCATTTGCTGTGTGCCTTGAAGAAGACATGGAAGAAGATGTCGAGGATGATGAAGAGGATGAAGAAGACGGGGAAGTGGACGAAGAGGATGAGGATGAGGATGAGAATACTTTCAGTTTCAAAGATGGGGTTAATCCCTTGGATTTTGTGGAAGACGATGCTTTTGGTGACCAAGTTTATGAGCAGTTTGTGGGCATGGGTTATGAGGCTCTAGCTGAAAGAAAGAGAAAAGCACTTGAGGATAGTCGGCCTGAAGGTTCTGTTAAGAAGGCCAGGCATGAGGATGTTACTGGAGCAAGCATGGAGGAAATAATGGAGGCCATGAATTATGGTATGCAAAGGAGAACAAGGAAGCCCAAGAAAAAAGGTAGACGGAAAGGATCAAAGAAGAAACTTACTCCTGAGATTACTCGAAGGCTTGGTGAAGCTACTCTTCACTATGTACATGGACGTTATGAAGAGGCCATACCCATCTTGGCAGAAATTGTTAAGCAGGCACCAGATTTGTCCGAGACGTATCATACACTTGGACTTGTCCATGATAGTCTTGGTAATGAATTGAAAGCCTTGAATTGCTTCACAATTGCTGCACTTTTAGCACCAAAGAATCCAGCTCTTTGGGAACTGCTCTTTGGCTGGTTCAATAGACGAGGCGACACTCATAAAGCCATTTATTGCCTTTCAAGAGCAATATCAGCAGATCCTAAAAATATTGACCTGAAATTGGGTCGTGCTTCACTCTATGTTAAGCTTGGAGATTATCATAAAGCTGCTGCATCGTATGAACAGATAGTACAAGCCTGTCCTGATAATGTTGAAGCACTCAAGACAGGAGCTGTGATGTATGACAGAAGTGGTCAGCATGAGCATTCTATTCATATTCTGGAGGCTTATCTCAGAGATCATCCAACCGAAGCTGATCCTAGTGTCATTGATCTGCTAGCTTCCATACTTATGGAAAATAATGCACATAATGAAGCAATTCAGCATATTGAGCATGCACAACTCGTATTCTGTTCAAATAAAGAGATGCCTTTGACAATGAAAATTAAAGCAGGAATCTGCCATGCTTACCTTGGAAATATGGAGAAGGCAGAAACTCTCTTTAGTGCTCTTGAACAGCAGAGTGCAGATCAGGCTGACTTGATTGCTAAAGTCGCAGACTCATTTATGAGTCTTGGGCATTATAGTTCTGCATTGAAGTATTTTTTAATGTTGAAAGGAAACACCAAATATAATAAAGGCTTTTTACATATGAAAATCGCTCAATGTCATTTGTCCTTGAATGACAGAGTACAGGCAATTTCGTGGTTCTATGAAGCTGTAAAGACACTTGAAGATAATATTGAGACCCGATTAACATTGGCTTCTATTCTTCTTGAGGAAGCCAGAGAAGATGAAGCCATTTTGTTGCTATCTCCTCCAAAAAATCTAGATCGCTTTGAAGCCCAAACAAATAAATCGGAACCATGGTGGTGTAATGGAAAAGTGAAACTGAAGCTTTGCTACATTTACAGAGCTAAAGGGATGCTCAAGGAATTTGTCGATGCAATCTATCCTTTGGTACATGAGTCGTTACGTATCGAATCTCTTCAGCAAAAGGTGAAAGTGAAAAAGAGGCTCACAAAAAGTGTTCTGTTAGAAAGAGTGAAAGTCCTGGATGATCACCAAACAGATAACCTATTATGCAGATCTAGACCAGTAGCTCCTGCATCAGATCTGCTGAAAGCTGCCAGAGCGAAGAAGTTGCTTCAAAAGAAGGCAAAAGTAAAGGAAGAAAAGAGAGCTGAGGCAATGGCTGCTGGAGTTGACTGGCAAAGTGATGATTCAGGTGATGATCCTCCAGAAGAAATACACCAAGAACCTCCCCTTCCAGATCTTCTCAAGGATAAAGAGAATCATGGCCTTATAATAGATTTGTGCAAGTCACTGGCTTCCTTGCATAGATATTGCGAAGCATTGGAGATTATAAATCTTGCTTTGAAATCAACTCGCAACATGTGTTCTGTTGCAGAGGAACTCCGGTCTCTTGGAGCTCAAATTGCATACAACACTCCGGATCCTGAGCATGGGGTTGACTGTGTAAAATACATTGCAGACCAGCATCCATACAGCAATGCTGCCTGGAACTGCTATTACAAAGTAATTACCAGATTAGATGACTGGTACGCGAGGCATTATAAGTTTCTACGTGGAAAGCGAGACAAACTCAAAGACTGTGCACCTCCGAGTATCATTTCTGGGCATCATTTTACTAAAAAGAGCCGTCATCAAGATGCTGCAAGAGAATACCTTGAAGCTTATAAATTATTGCCAGAGAATCCCCTGATTAATCTGTGTGTCGGTACTGCCTTAATCAACTTGGCCCTTGGACACAGACTTCAGAATAGGCACCAGTGTGTTGCACAAGGCTTAGCATTCCTCCACAAAAATTTGCAGCTTTGTGAATTCAGCCAAGAGGCTTTTTTCAACATAGCCAGGGCGTACCATCACGTCGGTCTTGTGACACTGGCAGCTTGGCACTATGACAAAGTTCTTGCAATGCATGTGAAGGATTACCCCATCCCAAAACTTCCCCATGAAAAGCCAGAGTCTGTTGAAAATCGATCACCGGGTTACTGTGACCTTCGCAGAGAAGCAGCTTTTAATTTGCATCTTATATACAAAAAGAGTGGAGCAGTTGATCTCGCTCGACAGGTCTTGAGAGATCACTGCACTTTCTGAGTAAGCAACTGATATTAAAACATCAAATCCAGTTACTCTTTTATTTCTGTACTTATTAAGTATATGGTTGATTCTCTAATAAATAACAGGAAATCTTTTTCTTTGTTGCAGATAATCATGTTCCTGATCTCAGATATTGTGACTGAATCGAATGAGAGGGTGGCCTCCTACTCCCTAGTCTAGTTCTCTTGAAAATGCCTGATTATTGTTTGTATCAGCAGTTCATTTTGGCCTAACACAGCCAAAGACAGCGAGGGAAACACTAAAGAGAAAGGCTTGTGATGAACTCAGCAATTTGCCTGTCACATTTTTGAAAGCCAGTGCTAAATCCTTTTTTCTAATCAGATGCTAAAGCCTTATGTAAGTTCAAAAAAAGGGCCAACTCGTTTTTTTCATTACTTCACGAAAGTAATATACATCACACACAAATGGTGAAGCACTTGATAAAGTCTTTTGATAGATAACAGACCAGGTTCTAAGCATTGTTTCAAACCGTTTGGGTGAAAATTTAGAAATACAAACGGTTGAGATTTAGAGCTTGTAAGTAAATGGTATGAATATAAATGCTACAAATTTTTTTGAACCATTAATGAGATGAATTTTTGGTTGAATAGGTGATATAGATTGAAGCTATAATGACAGTAAAACAATACAGAGGTATATGTAGTAATGTTTCTTGATAATGTTTTCGTGCATGATCACTATTTTGAAGTGTCAATCAGAGTACTTTATTATTATCTTGGTCAATCGTACATGATTTCTATCATATATTTCACACCTACTCACATGGTCAATTAACCGTAATGTTACTCTGATCATAGTGATCAGTCATTTAGGTAACTCTATAACCGTGAGCTTATATTATAGGGGGGTTTTTTTTGGGGGAGGGGGAGTGGGGGTGGTGTGGTGGGTGTGTGGTAGACTTCTTGTGGGATAGAATGCATTGTTGGGCTTCATTGTGGGGTTCCGTTTCTAAAGAGTTTAGTAACATTTCATTTTTCCTTTTGTGCAGATTGGGGAGATGGATGTTTGTTAGTGATGAGTAGGTAGCTGTGGTTTTTAGTGCTACGAAAGTGTAATATGAGCTTTAGAGCGTATTCTTAACTTTGTTTATGTTTTGTATTTGTTGTTCTCTAGTTTGTGATGGATAAGTGAAGATGTGTTGTGTTTCTAGACTTATGATTGCATAATTGCATGAAAAACCTTCTAACTTATGAATATAAATGTTGCATTTACATCTAAACTTTTAGCTAATTTTGAAACTTTGGAGTCTTGATTTCTGACAGGGTGTACCTATAACATTGAGGTGCTGTGACAAGTGTTCTACATACAAGCCTTCCAGGGTTCATCAGGTTGGGTATGCGGAAGGTGTGTTTTAAGAGTGGTAGGTTGCATACATTCGTATTGCCTTATTATCTTATTCATGATTTTTTCACACATTGATTGGAATTTTTAAACTTTTTCTGCCAAAATTGGATGCAGGCTCATTACTTTCTGTGGATCATTAACTTTGTTGGTTATTCGAACAATAAGCCCTTTTTTATGCTTGCCTTGTGTGCAAGTTAGGAAGCTTGTATTCTACATTAAGTTCATGGAGCAAAGGTTTTAGCTTATCCAGCAGAGGAGTGCTTGTCTTCATAATCTCATAAACCAGGTTCTCTATGTTTGTGATTGCTATAGAAATGAAAACAAAGTAAAATTGTATTGAAATTTGATATGTTTTTTGAAAAAACAAAAATTTGGAATTGAAATGATGTTGGACCTGTTGTTTGAAGACAGCCTGATGCCTTGGCTAACAAGGAGCTTCGGAATCTCAGCGCTTCCACGGACCTTATAAAGATGGATTAGTTAAAAATATAGAATAAAATAAAGAAATGCAATATGAAGTAACATAATAAATATTAAAAAAAGGATAAATTTTTTTCAAATTTTTTTTTTGGTTGAATAGGTTATGATAGTAAAACATACAAACGTATATGTAGTTATGTTTCTTGATAATGTTTTCGTCTATGATCATTATTTCAGATATTATATTTGAATCTAAGACCTCAGGTGTATGGGTAAATACTTTTCTCAGATACATGGGTAAATACTTTTCTCAGATACATGGGTAATGGTTGTAATGATACAAATCCCTTCCCATCACTATTTTACACCTTTTTTTTTATAAATAAAAACAATATTAGGGAGGAGGAATTTAAGGCAGGATCACGCATTCATAGATAAACTCTCTTAACTATTTGAACTACAAATAAATTATTAATTAAATATTAATCAATTATAAAAATAAAATTGAACTGCGAAATGTGTAATATTGCAATTCAAAGCGTATTTTGCCATGACATTAAAAAAAAAAAAAAAAAAAAAAAAAAAAAAAAAAAAACTCTATCTAGTTATATTGGCATTAGACATGGACTATGAAAATCGAAGATCAGAAACATGCTCAAAAGCAAAACATCAGCAAAAATAGGGACATCCACAATGTGAAATTGGCTAATTCATTTGTGATCAGGATTGAATTGCCCATTTCTACTGACATTGACAATGACATTTGAACCTTTTAAGAATTCTCAGTTACTACTCACTCATTTTCTGGAGATCAGGAGTCAAGTTTTTTGGTTTTTTTTGGTTTTGGTGGTGGGGCTGGTCATAAGTTCAAGTTTTGATGATGATACTTGTTGAATTAAAAAAATATAAGTTTGGTAATTTGCAATTGCCATCTTATCTTTATCTTTCAACTTGACTATTAATATATGTGATTTTTTTGTTTTTTTTTTGTTTCCAGTAATGTATGTAAGGTTCAAGGGTACACAAATTTGTATAATAATAATAATAATAATTGAACTTCTAAAAAATTCAACATCTAACAGTCAGACCAACTAGAGAATCTAGCATTTCACCTCTCCAATGGATGAGGCAACAAAACAGCTTAGCCAAGCCAAGCAAATGCTTTCAATACCCCTACCTTTTTTATCCCCAATTTTTCTTTCCGTGGCATTGGATAAATACACTATCAACTGACAAGGCTGACATTTCGTACCTCTAATTCCTTAATATAAAGTATAGATTATCTGTATCTAAATCTTAATTAAGTTATTAGGGGAAATTAATAATTTTGTCATGGCCAAACGCAAACAACTCCATTAATAAACCTCTGTTTATGGCAGAAACCAATCCATCAATTTAAAACAGCTTATGGAGATTTTTATCTAAACAAATGAATAACAGCCTGGATTTCTTATGTTCGGTACATTGGAAAATGAATAACATGCCTTTTCACAACAACTATACAAATAAATAAGCTCCTACAAAGTAACTAGTTCTGAGGCCACTCACTAGCAGAATCAAATACTGAAACAAAAGTAAGTTTCATATGAATCTCTCTGTGTCTACGGTACGGTATGATCCCATACCATAGTGTCTTAATCTCTTTCCACAATAAGCAAGTGTTCAAGTTCTTCCCTTCGCCGCTCCAAGTCCTGTGATTGTTGCAAACAGGTGAATGTGAGCAAACTTCTGTAATAGATTTGACTTACGGACAATTAACAAACACAAATTAACCCAACTCATAAACGGACTATCTAGAAAGACCAAAGACTCATAAATAGCAGAAATCTTATAGCGAGCAAGCCTTTAAGGTCACAGCTAAAGCTATTTTTCCTTGTAGTAGGAACCATATACAAGCAAGTATGATAAGCAAAAGGAACATTGAACCGTGTCTGAACGTCCAGTACCACACGTTACTTCTGGAAATCCAGGAATTTGAAAGCTTACCTCAAGATCCTTTATTGCTTGCTCCCTTGAAATTTCTGTCTTCTGCCGAGCCCGTTTCAGGAAGCCAATGCATAGAATTCCCTTAAAAAATCAAATATTGAAGATTAGTAGATAGAACTTTGACCAATGTACTTAGCAGCTCCTACTGCTAGTTGACCATAATTCATGAACCAGAAATATCGCGATAACATTCATATAATTAGGTTATTGCTCCCTACCACAACACACAACAAATTTCCTGAAGTAATTCTGTGAGGGTTATCAATAATTACTGTGATCCTCTAGTAATTGGCTAATTTCCATTAAAAACGTCTAGAATTAATAATTCTTTTCGTTTCTCTTATTGTAGTGTTGAATATTAAAAGATTTTCTGATACTTTGGTGTGTTATGTTTTGCCACTCCCAAGCGGCCCTCAACACAAGACGGGAATTTTTAATCATGCTCTTGAGACAGCAATCTTTAACCTCAGCTACAAGAAGACATTTAAACATGCACACAGGCATAGACACACACATGTCCAGAATTCTTATAGGATTCTTCTACTGAGACTTACCGCAATAATATAGACCCCACCACAAGCAAGGAGCATATAGCTTGCTATGTTCTGAAGAAGAACAAGCGTCTTCCTTGTACCAGTCTCATCAGGAAAAGCTCTTGTCATGACCGCAACACTGGTACAAACAATCACGACTTCAGAAACCATATAAAACTTATGCTGGTGTGCAATAGATATGAAAAGTTGCTTCAGTCAAAGTCAAGCATAAAATTTAATTTCCATCCCATCATTATTCTTTGTCACAGGCCTCATAGCTACAATTATACTGTTATAAGGCTACGATAATCAGTTTGGAACTGAGGTGCGCTCTACAATCTCAAGGTGCAGAGAAATACTCTAGGAAACTGAAACAAAATATTTTGAGTATATTTGAAGACTTACAAGATCTGCAGCATACCCCTACCAACCCAATAGTCCAGTACCTGCAAACAGTTAACTGAATACTGAAATTAGATCACAGAAGCAAAATTCTGAATAATAACTCCAACATTGCCAGAAATTTTGAGTTACCGTAAAACAGTAAATTGTTGATCTTTCCTAAACAGAGTAAGACTGAGAGAAATGGAGGCAGAAATTCATCACGATTGCACTTAGCAGCAAAGGTTTGAATGTTATCAAGTGCCTGTCTTACTGTTGGTACTCTCAGGTTCTTTTTCATTTTTATTATTTCAATCCTTTTGGTTTGGGAATTATAGTCGCATCTTAGCAAAACCCCTCCTGTGGGTTGGGGAGAAAGGGGCTCCCTGATCATCACAAAGATCACGTACCCTATTTGAGGAATCATAAAATCTAATAATAAGTTTTTATTCCATGTGGATTAAGTTCATTTCGTATTTTCCTTGGGAAGATTTGATCCTTGATAGAAGAATTAGTCTGTTTCTATCAGGAGCATATATGAAGCATTAAAGTTACAAAGATTTCATAAACAACATTTGAGGTAACTGGAGTGGCCTTTGGAACACTGACCTATAATCAGTTCAAGGCATCCATAAAGGAGATGTCTTCTTACACTATGTTTGGTTCTTGTACAGCACGAGAAAATGAGAGAGAGAGAGAGAGAGAAACAGTTTTTAGAAAGTTGTAATGTTTTCTTGTGCTTAGTTGCATGGAGTAAATAAGGGGAAATATGACAGGAAACTACAAAATTTGGTATCTTTTCTTTTGGTAAGCCAACTTCCCCTTGTAATTGCGCATAAGTTTCAGTTTTTTTTTTAACCTTCTTTTTTTTGCTCATTCCCATTATATAAAGCCAACAATAGAAAGTATGGAGATCTAAAACCTTTTCTTTTCTTCCTTTGTCCGCTTCTACACCAAACATAGTTTTTCTTTGTAAAACAAAATTCTTTTCCCCACCCATTCAGTCCAAAGCGTGTATCATTTGACAACGCCTACATCTCCTATGGTGAAAGTTTCATATTCTACTCCTCTGGACAATATTTCCTCCTTTCTTTTTCCTAGAAACAAGTTATGGTCACGATCACTCTAACCAAGATCAGATTCAGAGATTTCCACAATTAAAGGAAAGAAATTGAACATTTCAATCACATTTTTACTCTCGACTCTGACTCTTCTAACTAAAGCATAGAAACCGCACAATTTTCGTAATAAATTTGTTGTGTTAAGGTTAAAATCAGCTATCGAAATTGCTTAAAAATTAATTTCTAAGAATCGAAATTTTCCTTCGATAAAATGTGTTAGGGCTTAAGAATAGTGAAAAGTGAAAACGAACCTTCCAGAACTTGATAAAGAAAGCCCATTCGGTCTCGGCCACAACCACCACAATCGCAATCAAAACAGCATAACACCGAAATATCCCGTCGAAAACCTACAATTCAACGACACACAAACAATCAAATCATCCAATCTACAACTCCATAAATATGTACACATATATGTATAGAGACATAGAGAGAGGGGTAGAGAGAGAGTACATCAGATCCATCCTTGAAAGATTCAATGGCAGAGAAGACATTGACGACGATGCAGAGAACGGCAGTGAGAGCAGTGACGACGCTGAAGCATCTGCAGCACACCAAGAAAGGGTCGGCTTTCATTCTCAGTCTGGTGTTACTCGAAGCTGGAGATGTTCGCCGTCCGCTCCCTTCTACATCCGCCTCTCCATTGTTTGTCGACATTTTCTCGCGCTTTCTCGGCTCCGAGAAAATTTTCAGCTAATTTATTCAGTGAGAAAATCTCATATTCTGCAACGCATAGATTCTGTTTCGCTCATGGCTTTGGCTCCCCCTCTGTTTTTCGTTTGTTCATTGAAGCGGGATTCTTTGACCTCCTTTGAAGGAACTGAAAGCTGAAAGGACCAGCCACGTGTTCACCAAAAAAAAAAACAAAAGGGCCCAGCCACGTGGTGGCACGATGGATATTTTAGAAGCTTTTCTACGGTACCAAACTTGTCTTTACCTAATAGTCAATGTGCATCAGCAAAGCG